CCAGGCGAGCTGCTCGTCGAGGGCGAGGATGGCGTGGGGTTCGGCGCGGCGCAGGCCGAGCCTGACGCGCTCGTTGAAGCTCTCGACGAGGAGGGCCGGGATGCAGGCGAGCACGGCGCGGCGCTCGGGGTCGGGGTCGTCGGGGTCGGGGTCGGGGATGCTGGCGACGGGCCAGCGGGCCCACCAGAACATCTCGAGCTCGTTGCGCATGTTGACGGTGTGACCGGCCATGATCCACTCATAGAGGCGGTAGAGGGCAAAGACGGGCGTGTCCTCAAAGACACCCCGCGGGGCGCGGTAGCGGCGCCGGCACAGGCTGTCGCTGTAGGCGGCGCGGCGCGAGAGGATGGCGCGGGGGCTCGGTGGCGGCCAGCACGGGAAGAGGTCATCGCTCACGACGTCGTCGTGCGGAGGCGGCTGCGTCGACGGCGGCGCTCCCGATGGTTCAGGCTCGGCGGTCGCTGCTCGGGGCTGCTGTTTCGTCCTCGACACGAGCTTTTTGAGGAGCCGACCCAGAGCGCCCTGATGCTGGGTCATGTTTCCATTCGCTCTTACTGTTGCTGTTGTCGAAAGATGGCCGGTGACGAGTGAGGCAAGATAGAGGGGAGAGAGAGGGGCAGCAGCGCCTTCTGGTGGCTGCCACGGCGAGGTCCAGGTGTGTGCCGACCGACGTCTTTGTACCTGCCTCTGGTAGGTAGGTACCCAGGTGTGTCCCTGAGGTAGGCGCCTGCCACCGAGTGCCTGCCTACCTAGGGACCGACGACAGTAGGTACCCAAGGTGCCTGCCTGCGGGGTGCTGCTTAAGGCAGGTACCTACCCTACCTACACGGGGGGCGCCTACAGGGCCGCCTACAGGAGGGGCGCCTACAGGAGGGGCGCTTATGTGCTGGGCACTGCCGCTCGGCTAAATCGTGACCACAATCGCATGCCTTCGCTCCCTGTTCCCCGGCCCTCCCACGACGGCAGCATTCACCAACAGCGTACCGCTGGCTTGCTGCCTCTTGCTCGTGAGGCCAACGAACAGGCCAGAGACCATCAGCCAGAGGACGGACACGGCCAACCCAACCAACGACAGCCATCGTCGCCACGTCCCGGCGGCAACAGCCTCGTAGCACGACTGCACCCTGTCATAGCGCAGCCACTCGATCCCCCGCCCCGCATGGATATGGCCAAACACAACCACAGCGGGCCTGGCACGCCATAGCTCGGCGAGCAGCTGATCGCACCCTTTGCCTCCGTCGTCGAGGTGGGCTCTGGGCGGCCCGTGTACGAGAAGGACGTCGGTCCGGGGCGGCACAGCGTGCGCCCCAGCGCATCGACGGCGACGACCATGACGACGCATCGGGGTCGTACTGAAAGGCCCAGCTGCCGCAGCGCGGCGTCCAGGACTGCCGAACACGCGTACCGGTCTGCCCCGAACCTCGAGGTCCAGCGCCTCGTGCTCGAGTACCGCACGGCGCCCCATGCCAGATCGCCGCGGCGCCGGCCGGTCGTGCCGCTCTAGTTCGCG